TTGAGTCTCCATCCCTGGAGGTATTTAAAAGACGGGTAGACGTGGTGCTTAGGGACATGGTTTAGTGGTGGACTTGGCAGTGATAGGTTAACGGTTGGACTTGATGATCTTAAGGGTCTTCTCCAACCTTAACGATTCTATGATTCTATGATTCTTTTGGTATCTCTGTATTTTTGAGCTGCCTGGCTGAAATGCAACCTTGCTAACTACAGCTGCCTTTTTCTAATCCAGAGAAAGAAGATAATCAAAATCTAATCATGTCTTTGCAAGAAGTGCATATTCGTTTCCAAATGAAATTTATAAAAAGGTGAGATAAATGAAACAGAATAATTCTGGCTGAGAATAAATTACAAAGAAAACCTGAGTAGGCTGAGAAGTATCGGAACACGATTACTACATATTTTCAGTGAAAACTGATAATGGACAATCAGTCATGTTCTTTGTAAATCACAAAGCTTAAAGGCAGAAACTGGAATATTTATAGGGAAAAATCACAGCATTTGTGCTATTTCATGTAGATATCTCTGTGTTTTGATCACATGAGTACACATTTCTGTGTGCATTTAGGAGTCTATATAAAAATGTACAAACTTCTTATGCTAGCAATGACAGCTATATGCCAGTATTATAATTGGTTATTATGAATTAGCTGATATTTCTGTATAACACATTAACTGTCAAATGCTAGGAACCCAGTGGTAATATTAGAATTGATCTGTGAATTCATATAAGCTAGCAAAACTATGAAGGACCAAGCGATCATGACCTAGTGATCACACATTATTTTATCACCTTCACTTAACAGAGTAAAAGTCCGGACAACGTGCCTCCACCCCGGTACATGATAAAAGGCAACCTTTGCACTTTTTCTTGTTGCTAAATAGCAGTGGGGGAACATTAGTTGAAGCTCGTTTATTATCACTACTAACTGAGGTCAAAAGCTTGGTTTATGTTTCATGGACATGATCAATATCTTTATTTGCAAACTGTTGTGACAGACACAGAGATTATGAGATTCCAGATACAATACAGCCTCCCAGAGAAAATATATTTATTGCTTTCTTTCCAGATTTTATAAAAAGATCCTGAAGAGTTATGAAAGCCCTGTTGATCCAACGGGCTGACAATTTCCAACAGTGATACCATCACAGCAATAGTTACCATGGAAATGATTGCTTTTACTGTAGAAGTAAGCACCCATTCAGTCCATGTCTGCATCTTCTATCACAAAAATCTTCTATTATTAAATCAGTCCAATTCACTTACAGGAAGAAAATTTTCATCTATTCCTTTCTAATTAAATGCAATTGCGCTATATCCTTTTTTTTTTACATGCCTGTGCCTCCTCTGCCACTAGCATCTTTTCTTTGTGATTAGCCTTTGAGAAGACCCCAAATAAATGCATTGATTATCTATCCCTAGGATACACAGTGCTATTCGACCTGTAATCTGCAAGACAAGAGAATACGATCTGTGAAACAACCGCAGAAAAATTGTTCAAGAACATATGCATTTATACCTATACAAACAAGCAAAGCAGAAGAAATCAAAGTAATACAACCATATTAAAAATTTAAAGTAAGCTTTAGCTGCTTGGAAGTTATAAATATTATAGCAAGATAATCTGCCTTTTCTTCCCTTCCCCCCCAAAATTCAGTGGACCCACAGATTAAAAATTCGAAGAACACTGCTTCAAAGGGGGACCCCCTAAATTAATACCACTGCACTAAAGTAGCATGAGCTCCTAGAACAGATGCAAGAAAAGCTATGTCAGACAGTAAAATTACATTACTGTGCCTTGTAATACGGTAAAATCAATCCCTATTTGCAACACAAACTATTGTGGTAAAACATTCATTTTGGAAGTTTTAGGAATTGGAAAAAATGTACATAATTCTGTTCTTGAGATTTGTTCACACCAA